TAAATAAGCCATCTTTTTTCTTTGATTTTTTTCTGTGAAAATGATGGACTTGTGTTTTATTATAGTCTTTTTAAAAAAAACATCAGTAAGGATCACTCTCCCAGCCCCACCACACGCGGACCACGCGTAACCTGCCCCGTCTGTGCTCCGCGGGCACAGCCACACAGCAGTGGAAACATCTGCTCTGCAGAGGAGGAAGACGCCCACTCTAGTGGTCATACGCCCCTCACATCAAAGTTTCCATCTTCCACTAAGAGAAGACATCTTCCACTAAGAAGAAAATCAAAATTTGTCTCAGAAGTCACCTAAGATTGTTTTTAAACATTTAGAGACTATTTCCAACTCGTATATCCCTAAACATATTAATTTATTTTGATCATAGAAATTTACATTTATTTCTATTAAGCCTAAATGATTGGATTTCCTAAGGTAACCCCCAAAGCAGATCATTTTATTCTGTCTCCATTTGCTTTCGTTGTTGACTGTCATTTAGGGGGAAAGGTGACTCACTCCAAGTTCCTGTGGTTTTCATTTATAACACCTGCACATTATACCAAAATATGAGACAGATGATGGTCAGGCTGAGTTATCTCAAATGCCCTGAGCCTGTGGGACATGACCAGTCCCTTTCTGTATATGGATAGAGGATAACAGAGAATTAAACACCATGTGCCCCAAGTCAAGAGGAGAAATTACCTCTTGGTTTGGAAAAGACAAAAAAATTACACCTAACCCTGTTCCTGAAATGGCACAGGTAGCTCCCTAAGTTTTGCTTCGTCTTCTGTTTTAAAAGGATTATACCCCTAATGATTGTTTTCTTATTCTTTCCAGAATACCAGGTTAAAAGGACTCGCTTGAAGCCTCCTGGTCAGGCTCAAAATATCAGATGATTCCACCCAGAGAACTCATATGAGCCATTTAAAGTAGGTCATGTGCTCACATCAAATCTCAAATGTCCTTATTTTGTGAGAGTTATTTTGCCCTTTCTTACTCTCAAGAAGAGTGTTTTCATGTGTTTGGTGAGATTTGTCGGAAAGTTAAAAAAATCCTCCATAAATGTCACCCTCACCTTTTACTATAATAAGAAAACCTTATCAAAATAATGAAGAAAAAGCCAAATGAAGGTACTTTGTCTATTTAAATTAAGTCAACAAATATTTTCTGAACATATACAATAATACACCAAACATAAGAAAATATATGTTTTAAAGAGGGGGAAAGGAATAACTATTACTGCGTTATATTTCTTTCAGACACTAATTTTCTTGAAATATTGCTGAAGTTTGGATCCAACTTTGTTTGTTTGGTTTTTTTTCCCCTTTTTGTCTTTTAGCGGACCGGTCTCTATGTGGGATCCGAACCCTCGGCGGGAGCACCGCCCTCTACCGAGTGCGCCACCGGGCCGGCCCC